GAGTACGACGCGTGGAATTACGACGCGTGGAATTACAGCGCGTGAGAGTACGATGCGTGGAATTACAGCGCATGGGAGTACAACGCGTGGAATTACTACGCGTGGAATTAGGCGGCGTGGGAGTACGACGCGTGGAATTACTACGCGTGGAATTACGATGCGTGGAATTACTACGCGTAGAGTTATGGTTCGTAAAGGTACAGTACGTGGAATTACGGCGCATGGACATATAGAACGTGGAACTACGAAGCGAGGAGATACAGCACGCAGAACAGAGATTCACTGCACGTTAAAACGAAAATTGTTAAAATTGACTTTGGAAGAGTACCTGACAGGAATCTTGTCCTCCACTTTCGTATCCGGCGCACAGGAATATGTCTGGTATGAACTCGTGTCTACCAGCCCTCAGGAACATTGACTTACATCTATCGTTACTCACTATAGGCACGGAAACCTGGAACATAAGTTGTAAAATAAACCCTCAATTAGCACATGATCCCTTATGAATCTTTATAAACTGCTATAAATCCCTTATGAATCCTTTATGATTCCTTCATCCCCATTTTAACAACATCAATCGTTATTTACCTCCTGCAGCACCGAGGGTAAAGTACCACCCTCGCTCAATCTTCCCCAACCGGTAACAGTCGCATTTTCCCCGATCAACAAATCATCAGTAGCTGGCAAACAAATCGGCGATATATGTGGGGCAAATGTCAATGAGCTTTCTAGCCTGACCAACGCCAGATCGTACTCGTACGTGAAGAAATTGTACTTTGGATGCACCACTTTCTTCGCTACTCCCCGTTCCACGTATGGTAGTCGCTCTTGGACGGACGAGAAGTCGTATTCACCAACTCTTATGCGTATTTGAGAGGTTAATAAGCTGAAACAAGGTTAATAATAATTATATTATAGCTGCAAGGTTTAACATTGGGGGAAATATGGGGCGGGAACATATAGGACGTGGAGATACGGCGCGTGAAGATACAACGCCTGATGTTACAAGGTGTGGTACTATAACAGGTGGTAGTGTTATGCATGAAGTTTCAGAACGGTGAAATGCAGTGGATGTTAATGTGAGACGTGAAGATACGGGACGTGGAGATACGGAGCGTGGAGATACGGTGCGTGGAGATATGACGCGTGGAGGTACAGTGCGTGGAGATACCACGCGTGGAAATACGGTGCGTGGAAATATGACGCGTGGAAGTACAGTGCGTGGAGATACTACGCGTGGAAATACAGTGCGTGGAGATACCACGCGTGGAAATACGGTGCGTGGAAATAAGGAACGTGGAGATATCCCACACAAATAAATACAAAGCATAAAAATTCACAACGCATACAAAACAAATAATAATTACCTGATTTTGTGCGTTTTGTTCGGCCATCGCTTTCTCCTTCGCTTGCCTCTTGCACTTGTATCGATGGTTTTGAAACCATATCTTCACCTGCAACAAAGATTCATAATTATTACACACAAGAATTATATTTCGAATAAATAATAGATACCACGCGTGGAAATAGTACGCGTGGAGATACCACGCGTGGAAATACGGTGCGTGGGGATACCACGCGTGGAAATACGGTGCGTGGAAATACGGTGCGTGGAGATACCACGCGTGGAGATACAGTGCGTGGAAATACGGTGCGTGGAAATACCACGCGTGGAGACACCACGCATGGAAATACGGTGCGTGGAGATACCACGCGTGGACATACGGTGCGTGGAACTATGACGCGTGGAGCTACAGTGCGTGGAGATACCGCGCGTGGAGATACGGTGCGTGAAGGTATGGCACGTGGAGATACTATGCGTGAAGATATGACGTATGAGGATACCGCACATGCAGATACTGCATAGAGATACAACACGCAGCAATCCACATCGTTGCAACGCCCATGAATACAAACGTGTACAACATACGAAGCCACTAATCTTCGATATATCGCATACCAATACAAGTGGAAAAACAAGTCACAGGAATTCTACGCACGTTACTATAACGCCTAGCCATTTAACGCGAACGATCGCAGCAATCTAACATACAGTAATTTAACATGTAGCAATCTAACGAGTAGTAATTTAACGCGTAGCAATCTAACGCGGCAATAAAAGGAAAGATCTAATACCCGTATCGAGACTTATTTTTGCCAGCGTTTAAAATAGTAATAGGTACTAAAATAGTAACTCACTCGTCAACGCAATGTCCCGCGGTCGCGATCCAGTTCTCGTTGAGCACCGCCCCGCCGCAGCGATGAGTGCTTGAGAAGCCGAAGAACGAGGTGCGCCTCACGGACACCTGCCAAGGCCATCGACCGAACGGCGCGTCCTTGCCACCGACGATCCTCGTCTCTGGACGCGGAAACAGTGGCGGCACACCGCACTGCATATCTTTGCTCTCGGCTGCCGCGGGAACTGTCAACACGGACCCCGTCCTGGTTGCCGCCTCGCTCGTGGTCATGGTCGTGTCTGGTCTCGGAGTGGTCGTGGTGGTGGTCGTGGTCGTGGTAGTCGTCGTAGTCGTGGTTGTGCTGGTGGTAGTCGTTGTGGTGGACGTGGTGGTCTTCGGCGTCGGTCTGGGCCTGGCGGATGTCTCGAAATGGGACGTCGTTATGTAGTGTGCTGAACCGAGTGGTTTGTGGAACTCGGTGTTCTGTAAAAAGAGTACACGCTCGAAAATACCTGACAAGCAGCCGAACGTGTGGCTTCCGGATTGATTAATTTTGCAAACGATCAATCAAGTCCGGTGCTCAATGGACTGTGTAATGGAGTCGAAGGCTAAATCGATGCTTCTGTGTCGCGATTAACAGTATCCAACGTTTAAAGGCTGCCGAGAGGATCTAATAACGTTACGGGATTCTATGGCAAAGAAATAACTTGATGAAGTTGTTTCTGAAGAAAACGATTTATAGATAAGATGCTGCGTAAAATAGTGCTGGATCGAAGAGGGAAGTATGGATTGTAATTATGGCCAGTGGCGCGTGGAGCGGACCGTTCATGTGGACTCTGTTATGTTTCATCGGGTACAGAGATGGTTAGCTATTTGTCAAGAACCTTTTAGAAACCCCATCTTATAGCTTTCATCCCTGTGTACTATTGTCAAACTCAAATCCATTGTGGACCACTCAGGGAAATCTTAAGATGAACTCTAAGGAGGATCAGGTTAAACCTCAAAGAGAACCAAGGAGATCTTAGAATAATTTCAGAAGAGACACAGGATGAATCCAGAGGAGGATACCTAAGATGAACCCAGAAGAGCAGATCCAGAATGAATCCACAAGATACCTAGGTTAAGCCTAGAAGAGTAGGCCCAGAACAACAGAGGATACCTAGGTCAAATCCATAAGAGGATGTCTAGAATGAATCCAGAAGAGGATACCTAGGATGAACCCAGAAGAGCAGATCCAGAATAAATCCACAAGACACCTAAGTTAAGCCCAGAAGAGTAGGCCCAGAATAAGAGAGGATACCTAGGTCAAACCTAGAAGAGGAGATCCAGATTGAATCCAGATGAGGATACCTATGATGGGTCTACCCAGAAGTAGACTTAGAACAACAAAGGATACCTAGGTCATACTCAGAAGAGAAGGTCCAGAATGAATCCAGAAGTGGATACCATTGATGGGTCTACCAGAAGTAGACCCAGAACAACAGAGGACCTAGGTCAAACCTAGAAGAGGAGATCCAGAATGAATCCAGAAGTGGATACCTATGATAGGACCACCCAGAAGTAGACCCAGAACAGCAGAAGACCTAGGTCAAACCCAGAAGAGATCCAGAATGACTCCAGAAGAGGATAACTATGATGGGCCCACCCAGAAGTAGACCCAGAACAGAGGATATGATGGGTATACCCAGAAGTAGACCCAGAACAACATAGAATACCTAGGTCAAATAAAGAAGAGCAGATCCAGAAGGTGATACCTCTGATAAATCCAAAAGAGATCAACCCAGAAGCAACCGATAATAGACTGCAGCTATTAGCGACTTAAATAGGACGCAAAACCATGAAACACATATCAAAGTACATAAAGGCAGACGTACTTCCTGCGGTTCGGTCGGTTTGAAACTCGGTCGCGGTGGAAAGGTTTCAGGTCCATTCTGAAGGAGGCCAGGATTATCCGTCCAGTGTGGTTTCAAGGACGGTCTAGGTGGAGTCCAGCTGTTGTCCGACCAGAAATGGGAACTGGCGACTATAGGTTTAGCGGTTTCGGAGGAACTCATCGGCTTCGTGGACGACACTGGCCTATGCTTCGTCACGAACGCTGGCTCTGTGGTCACTTGCCAGTGAGAAGTTTGTGGCACGGATCCGGCTGCGCTAGAATGAAAGACAAGTTTGAAGTTGCTGTTCCGAGACTCGTGGAGTTGATGCTGTGACAAGGTTGAAAGCACAGATGCATTTGTAACGACAGTTTGTCAAGTTTACGCTGGTAACATCTTGACTTAGTGTTTAGAGTTTCAGAAGTTTGTACAAAGCTTAAAATCAAACATTCTGAACAAAGTCATAAATATTCTACGTCAACCCTGTCATGTCCTACAAGATACTACTTCATTTATAAAAAAAAATAACTAGAACCAAAATTACCGCTTCAGAACGTAAGGACATATTCGAATACCTGGTTGTGGTCTGGCTAGTGTGAGGTCTGGCAGTGGTCGTCTTCGTAGAGACATTCAAGGTGCTAGGTTTGGAGATGAAGTTCGGCCTAGTGTCCGACTGGTCGTTCATAGAAACAGGCCTACTAGTGGTCGTCTTGATAGAGAAGAACGGTTTCGAGAACTCCGTGGTCGGTTTAGGTGATACTGGCTTGGTCGCCCACTGAGGACGTTCGGTGTGGATGAAGTTCAAGCTGGGATGAGGTTCCTTCGCGGTATCCTGACAACAGTCTCAAACATTCCAAACCTCTTCTCAACACTATAACTATAATATCACAACTACTCACGTCTACGGAATTGACGCTAGGTCGATGCACGGACTCCTGCACGCTAAGATCAGCATCCTCCGTCTTGCTATCGTCAGGTCTGGACTCGGACGGTCTTTGGTTGTTCGGCCTACTGGGCCTGATGTTCTCATTGACGTGCTCCTTGCCGGGTAGCCTAATCACTAACGTGTTGTGTCCCGTGTCCACCTTGTCCTTGAAGCTCTGGTGATGATTCGGATAGCTGTCTTTGTCCTTGACAGCTGTGTGGTCATTTTCTGGCCTGGTCTTCTGCTGGGTACTCTGATGACCAGGCCTCTTCGCGTTCTGAGTGCTGTTCCAGAGATCAGAGATGCTAGGTCTCTTAGTACTTTGATGACCCGGCCTCTTCACACCTTGCGAACCCTTCTCCGAGTCGGACGCTGGCCTCTTCACGTTTTGAGATCCCTTGTCCGAGTCGGGTGTCGGTCTCTTCACGTTTTGAGATCCCTTCTCCGAATCGGCCGTAGGTCTCTTCAGGGTTTGAGACCCCTTCTCCACATCGGTTCCCGGCCTCTTGCTCTGGGACTCCCAGAGGTCGGACGGTCTTTTGGTGCTGTGCGACTCCTTCTCCCACTGACCAGACACCGGTCTCCTGGTACTGGCCTTCTCCCAGTGCTCGGACCCGGGTCTCTTCGTGCTCCCCTTCTCCCAAATATCCGACGGTCTCTTCGTGCTCTGCTGATTCTTCTCCCAGAAATTCGAGGAGGCCGCCGCCACCGAGGTCTGGATCCGATCCTTGTGATCCGAGGCGGGTTTCGCGTGCGGTCTCTTCTGCAGCGGCCTGCCAGAACTGCCCGCCAGTGGTCTGTGCGGTCGGCCATGCTCCGCGAAGGACCCGAACGTCTCGGATGAATGGTGTCCGGGTCTGGAGGTGCTCGAATCCGTGACCAGGAAGCTGGACAGGGACGTGAGCGTGGGCCTCGTCGACTCGTTGCCCAGAGCCTCGGCCAGGGTAGGCCTCAGGGGCTCCGAGGGGTGCTGGTGTGATGCGGTGATCGCGTTCGACGTCGAATTGTGCACGCAGCAGCTGCCGAACATGAACGTGTCCACGCACACGCCCACGTGCGTGCCCTCCGACTTGATGCACTCCCACACGAACATGCACGTGCCCTCCTTCGACTCCGGGCCGGGGACTCGACAGGGCTTTGGGGTGATTTTGTAACCTGCGGGGAGACGGCTGGTACAATTATATTAGCTTTCTTGGTTGGGGACGATGTGGATTGAGGGAGGAGTTTATTTGGCTGGAGTTTATGTCACTCAGGTGTAAGGCTCATTCAGATGTGCACACATGTGGAGGATGTGGATGTGGACACATGTGGAGGATATGGGTGTGGACACATGTGGAAGTGGAAGATGTGGACACATATGGAGGACGTGGATGTGGACACATGTGGAGGTGGAGGATGTAGATGTGGACACATGTGGAGGATGTGGATGTGGAGGATGTGGATGTGGAGGATGTGGATGTGGAGGATGTAGATGTGGAGGATGTGGATGTGGACACATGTGAATGTGGAGGATGTGGATGTGGACACATATGGAGGACGTAGATGTCGATACATGTGGAAGATGTGGATGTGGACACATGTGGAGGATGTGGATGTGGACGTGTGAGCATATGTAGATGGATATTTGTGGATTTGGATTTGAATGGTGAAGAAATTATAAATTTATAGGGTGGTACAAGGATTTCAATATTCTTGAAAGTCCCAAAATTCCTGTAGACCCAAATTTCCAAGGTCCTAACTGCATGTGGTCCCAAATTCCAAACTAGCAATATCCCAAAGTCACAAAATCTTAAAATCTCAAGTTCCCCAAATCCCAACACCTCAAAATACAAATACCCTGAGTTTTAAAGTCCTATAGTCCCAAACTTCCAAGCTCCCAACTTCCTAAAGTCCCCAAAGTCCTAAAATGTCTACATCCCTAACCCCAAAACTTTGAATCTCCAAATTCACAATACTCCAACCTCCCAAACACCCTAAACTACTACTCCTACAATCTACCCATTTGATGCATGCAGCTATAATCCATATACCATCATTCTATCCACATGCCATCTTTCCAGCCACACACACTATCTGCCTCTCTAATTAAATATGTCCACATTTCAGATAAAATGGACACTCTAACAGGTAATAAACTATGAATTCAATCTTTATGTGTTCTTCCAAGTTGACCCACATCGCAGTTGACGCGGTGCGTGATAAGCCACCGTTTAAAGAGTCTCCAGGTAATTCCCTCTATAATTAACGGACGCATTCAGGGACCCGCGAGGTCACGTGTACAAGGAATAATGGCGGATCGATACGTTCGTCCATACATTTTGGATGAGTCGTTAAACGAGTTCATGTTGCATCTTGAAGGAAAGAGGTGTTATAGAACGAGGAAGGAAAAAGGGAAACTTAATCGTCTGGAGTGCGTAGACCCGGGCCAGGTCGTTAACCGAGACGTTACCACGGTTCACAGTGTGTTCACCGTTTCGTTTTCTCCGTTAGAAATACGTTCGCGTATCGTTCGTTGCACTTTGGTCTACTGTTAATTAGAGAACCGCGCTTTTGCGAGAGATCGAGAACGTAATACCAAAATATTCAGTTAGGTAAAATATTTTGTTGCTTTTCTGAGAGAGAAGGTATTAAAATACCAAAGTTAGGTAAAATATCTCATCGTTTTTTAAGGACTCGCCCATGAGTCCACATAGTCTCCCATACATCTACCATAAATTCTATTATACATATTTTTTTAACTTGCAAAGAGAGTTATTAAGATTTCAGTATAATCATTCAGTATAATCATAACTATCTTCCATGAAAAATTGTGAAGTAGCACAACGAATGTCAAGTTCTACAGAAAAGACAGGTAATAAGGGTGCGTTCTTTTGTTGCGACGAGACCATTTTCCGTGGAAAAATGGAGATAGTATTAAAACGCTTAATTAACGCTGCAAATGAGATACGCCACTGGTTTACGAGTATGAATTATCTAATGTATTGCGGACGATCAATTTCACTTGTTACTTTCTTATAAAATATTTGGATCAAGGATTGCAGAATAAGAAATGACTTCCAACTTGTTAGCCAGTCGGATTAATTAATATTGATTTAGCGTATGTAGATAGTAAGCTTATCTTCTTGACATTCTGTGTTAACTTTTCAATTTGTCTCAATGAAATTCTGTTATTAGATATTCATTTTTTTGTCTCAATGAAACTCTGTATGTATTAATTTTTTGTCTGAATGAAATTCTTTATACATTAATTTTTTGTTTCAGTGAAATTCTATAGGTATTAATTTTTTATCTCATTGTCAGTGAAATTTGATACATATTAATTTTTTGTCTCAATGAAATTCTATACACATTAATTTTTTGTCTCATTGTCAATGAAATTGTGTACACATTAATTTCTTGTCTCAATGAAATTCTATAGGTATTTATTTTTTATTTCATTGTCAGTGAAATTTGATACATATTAAGTTTCTGTCTCAATGAAATTCTATACACATCCATTTTTTGTCTCATTGTCAATGAAATTCTATACACATTAATTTTTTATCTTATTGAAATTCTATAGGTATCAATTTTTTATCTCATTGTCAGTGAAATTTGATACATATTAAGTTTCTGTCTCAATGAAATTCTATACACATTAATTTTTTGTCTCATTGTCAATGAAATTGTGTACACATTAATTTCTTGTCTCAATGAAATTCTATAGGTATTAATTTTTTATCTCATTGTCAGTGAAATTTGATACATATTAATTTTTTGTCTCAATGAAATTCTATACACATTAATTTTTTGTCTCCTTATCAACGAAATTCTATACACATTAATTTCTTATCTAAATGAAATTCTATACACATGAATTTTTTGTCTAAATAAAATACCACATTAATTTCTCAACCTCTCTCAACGAAATTCCACGTCAACTTTTAAGCTTGCCTCCATTACACCTAACAATAATTATTTTGCAATTTACCTTCATTCAAAAATTGCAGATCACGTCAGAACTTTGATAAATGTTATCTAAAATTGATACGTGAAAGGATAACTTTCTTACTGTCGGAGTAAGAGTATAATATACCGCAGGGTTTTCTAAGATGTATCTTATTTGACCCACCAAGGAATCCGCCCCTTCGTTCGCTTTTCTTTTCTCACGCTCGACCGACTGCACCTTGACCGAGTTCCTCGTTCAATTAGGCGTTACACATTTCAGAGGACGTTCCCGGCACGAAGAAGAAAGAGAAATGTTCGAACAGGTGGGAAAAGGGAGTACACTCGGGTACGATGTTGCCTTTGGATGTGGATTGATACGTTAACTTTGTCATTACTGCATTTCTCAATTATTAGGGTTTAAAGTTTTCATATTTTTGGGATTTTTAGATTTTTGGAATTTTGGATTTTTAGGTTTTTAGATTTTTAGATTTTTAGGGTTCTAGATTTTTAGATTTTTAGATTTTTAGATTTTTAGATTTTTAGATTTTTAGATTTTTAGATTTTTAGATTTTTAGATTTTTAGACTTTTAGATTTTTAGGGTTCTAGATTTTTAGGGTTCTAGATTTTTAGGGTTTTAGATTTTTAGGGTTCTAGATTTTTAGATTTTTAGATTTTTAAATTTTCAGATTTTCAGATTGTCATATTTTTACATAGTTCTATTGTCATATTGTCAGATAGTTAGATAGCCAGATAGTCAGATAGTCAGATAGTCAGATAGACAGATAGCCATATAGCCATATAGCGATACAGTTATGTAGTTATACAGTCATACAGTCATACAATCATACAGTCATACAGTCATACAATCATATAGTCATACAGTCATATAGCCATATAGTCATACAGTCATATAGTCATATAGTCATACAGTCATACAGTCATACAGTCATACATTCATGTACTCATGTAGTCATGTACTCATGTAGTCATATAGTCATACAGTCATATAGCCATATAGTCATATAGTCATGTAGTCATATAGTCATGTAGTCATATAGTCATGTAGTGCTACAGTCATATAGTCATATAGTCATATAGTCATATTCTTATGTGGTCATACTGTCATATTTTTATACAGTCGTATTTTCATATTTTCAAGTATACAAACGATCAAATCCCCAGTCTTCAAAAATTACCCAACAAGTCTCTTCATCCCAAGAACATTCTCCCCAGTTAGATCTCTTTTCTTCCCATAAACAAGGGTATAGAATAGGAAACGTTTACCAAGGGTCGACCTGTGAAATGCAACCATAACCACCTACATTGTACTCCAACAAACGATACCTATCTGTTTCAGGTTAAGGCGTGTTTCTTTGAATAACTGTTATTCGCAGCAACTTGCAGTCGTCGATTATTCGATCATTGAACGATTAATACCATGTTGAATATTGAATATCGCACTGGCCGGTATCACGAAACCGTTCCAGAAGACAGGAATGAAAGGAACACGATGGATAAACGTATTGTATATGGTCGCGATCAAATCACCAAAAAGAGTATTACTGACTGTGACCTCGATTCAGCGTGCTGAGAGACCTGGCGATGCCCGACCACCAGAGAATTGTGGCCACGTAACCGATCCACCGCATCCTGATCCCTGAAATCAGAAATGTACCACTTTAACGTTGTAGTATCATGCGAAGCGTTCTTGTAGAATCGATACATGGCAGTTCGATTTCTACGAACTGCTACCAAGGAGTAGACAGAGGCGACACTAGACAAGGAAACCTAGAGAGAGACAGGACCAATTTAAATGCCCGAATCAAAAGAATCGGGGGTGCGCATGCGCACAGTGTAGAAGTATGGCGGTCGAAAAAGAATAGTTTAAACTTGCATATTCACCAGTAATTTATTTCTAATAAATATTTTGTCATATCTCTGTAACACATTCTATCCGTAATTTCTTGTAATAGTTTTTCATTTTCTTAGAAGTTATTTGTAATAATCATTTCCGTAATACATATTCTTCAAATATATTTTGTAGAGCAATCATTTTTATTCTTTTCTTTTTCAACTTTTCACGCCGTAAAATTGGTAAAAGTACCTCGAAAGACAATATTATATACGGAAAATTTATTACGAAAGAAAAAGATTTGCTCGATTTAAATTTCCTGCTCGTACAAGCAATTCAAAGGGACAGTTTTCGAGAGGTCAGAGATGATAATCATTATTATATTGCAAATTATTGGAGATTGAAAGTAGATTTGCTCGATTTAAATTTCCCGCTCGTTTGTATGTATAACCATTTTAAAGGGGCGCTGCGTTATTAGTTGTTAAATTACCTAGCGTTAAATATCGATTATTGTATCGATCCTATTTTATACTCTACAAGAAACTCAGAGATATTTTACCTGTCTGAAATAATTAATAATATTATGATTGATCGCGATATGTACATAACTAATGCGCATGCGCGATCTTCATACGCACAGCGCATGCGCGATGTCCAGACGCATGCGCATTAGAACTCTCTCCACTTCAATTACCCTCCATTTTTATTACAAGCTACGTATTATATCTCACACGAAACATATTCCCATTTATATACAAAATTCCCATAAAATGAATGACCAAATAAATTTTCACAGGGATTAAAAATAAACTCCAAACAATTCAGAACAATAAATATTCAAAGTAAAACGTACACTAACATTTGGACATAGCACAAGATTGTCCGTTTAGGTTAATCTTGAAACATGATGCAAATTGTACGTTAGCTACCGGTAGCAAAACTTTTCAAATCCTTTCAGATAGGAGCACGTGTTTATCCAGTTATTCACCGACCAGTTACACCTGTATGACTCGAGTTATTGCCACTTCCGTACCCGCCAGCTTTGGTCTTGATGCGTTTCTACACACGTATCAGATATGACCCTCTCTTTCCCACCAATTAGCGAGCTTCTGTTGCTAATAAGCATGCCTAATGCTCCACGTTCCTCACGTGCCTTGGCGAGAAAGACTTGTGCTTATATTTTCGACCATTTTATATTCGCTTTGGACCAACTGCACTTTATGTGCGAATATTTATGTGCAATGGTTTTTAGGATTGTGAAATGGGAGATTGGGAAATTAGCTGATTGGAAATTGGGGTGATTGAAATTTGGGGAAATTGGGAAATTAACTGGTTGGAATTTGGGGATTTAGAAATTTGGGAGATCAGGGAATTAGCAGATTGGAAATTGGAGATTTAGAAATTGGGGAAATTGGGAAATTAACAGATTGGGATTTGGAGATTTAGAAATTGGGGAAATTAGGAAATTAACAGATTGGAAATTGGGTGAGTAGGAAATTAACAGATTGGAAATTGGGAAGACTAGGAAATGAACAGATTGGGAATTGGGGATTTAGAAATTTGGGAGATTAGGGAATTAGCAGATTGGAAATTGGGGGTTTAGAAATTTGGGAAATTGGAAATTGAAGTGATTGAAAATTGGGGAGATTGGAATTTGGGGAAATTGGGAAATTAACAGATTGGAATTTGGGGATTTAGAAATTTGGGAGATCAGGGAATTAGCAGATTGGAAATTGGGAGTTTAGAAGTTTGGGAAATTGGAAATTGAAGTGATTGAAAATTGGGAAGATTGGAATTTGGGGAAATTGGGAAATTAACAGATTGGAATTTGGGGATTTAGAAATTGGGGAAATTAGGAAATTAACAGATTGGAAATTGGGGAAATTAGGAAATTAACAAGTTGGAAATTGGGGATTTAGAAATTTGGGAAATTGGAAATTGGGTGATTGAAAATTGGGGAAATTAGGAAATTAACTGGTTGGAAATTAGAGATATAAAAGTTGGGGAAATTAGGAAATTAACAAGTTGGAAATTGGGGTGATAGGAAATTGAGGAGATTGGAAATTGGGGAAATTAGGAAATTAACAAGTTGGAACTCAGGGATTTAGTAATTAGGCACAATAGGAAATTAACAGATTGGAATTTAAGGTTTTAGAAATGTGGAACCTTGTAAATTCGGTAGCTTAGCTATCCACACCCTAACAAATAATTAGCCCTTCAAAAAGAACCCCTTTTTTCACCACTTCTCGTAAAAGATCCCCAATCAAAAGCGTTGATAGATTTCGCAGCAGCACAAAACGCCTTTTTTCCATCGACCATCGATTTCAGTCGGTCGACCGTATTTCCCCGGTGTCTGAAGTTGAAATACGAGGCTCGATAAAACCGCGTTATCCATTGGAACAAAAACGGTGAGGAACCGGTGGTCGGATTCCCTCGCTCGTGAATCGGTGTCAACGAGACAAATTGTCCGAAAAAACGACCGAGAAAGCTCGAAAGTCAGCTCGATGACCCGGTATGCGAAACCAGAATTCGGTAACAAGCTGGCTGTGGTTCTTTCTGCTCCGATCACCGCGTTTTTTTGCTGTGCACCTGCACATTCAATCACCTGCATCATCCCTCCGATACACTTGGATGCGGCTCGATTTCGCGGTTTAAAGGGGGCCTTTTCTTTCCGTTGGCTCGTTATCGAAACGCTGTTCGACGATATTTCGAAAAGAAAAGTGTAATAAATTGACTTGGGGTATAATAGCTTTCAGGGCGTTGATTACGTGAAGCTACAAATTGATATAAGACCTGTTTCGGCATTATGTTATTGAAACATAATCTAAACAGTTACTGAAACGACTGGTAACCTAACAATCTAACCTTTGTATCAATAAAACGAACATAATCTAACCTGACCTTTATGTCTGTCAATTTAACCTAACTTGACTTTCATTTTGACTAACATGACTAACAGACTCTAACCTGACTTTCATTAACTTTCAACCTAACAACCTAACATGTCCTCTAATGTAACCTAACAACCTAACCTATAACATTCGTGTCTACTAATCTAACCCAACAATATAATCTTGCTATCTATTAATTTAATTTAACCTGCTTGTATACTAATTTAATTCTCATGTCTATTAACTTAACCTAACTTTACCATTGTGTCTGCTAAACTTAACTTAACCGTTATGCCTACAAACCTAACCTAACCTCCACATCTACTAATCTAACCTAACTTCCATATTTACTAATCTAATCTAACCTAACTTCCATATGTACTAACCTAATCTAACCTAACCTTCATATGTACTAACTTAATCTAACCTAACCTCCATATCAACTAATCTAACCTAACCTCCATATTTACTAACCTAATCTGACCTAACCTCCATATGTATTAACCTAATCTAACCTAACCTTCATATGTACTAACTTAATCTAACCTAACCTCCATATTTACTAACCTAATCTGACATAACCTCCATATGTATTAACCTGATCTAACCTAACCTTCATATGTACTAACTTAATCTAACCTAACCTCCATATCTACTAATCTAACCTAATGTCTATATCGACTAATCTAACCTAACCTCCATATCCACTAATCTAACCTAACCTCCATATCCACTAACCTAACCACCATATCTACTAACCTAACCTATCCTCAATATCTACTAACCTAATCTAACCTTCATATCTACTAACCTAACCTATCACTTCTGATTTATCGTACAAAAATAAAATAAATGAAATGCATTCAGTTTCCAATACATTCATAACACTTGAAACATGAAAATCAGTGCAGAAGCAAATGTAGAACGATAATACAGGAAAGTAGCATTTGCATCGAGGTTGAAATTCAAGCGGATTAAATTTCCTATATTTCCAAACGATCTGATTTCCCTCGTAGCCCCGTTTCAACTAATATTCGCGAATGCTCTGCGAATTCCTGCTAAATCAATACCATGATTGACCGATGCGCGATGCCCGCGGCATGCGTGTACACGCATAAAGCCGTTCCCTTTTCGTAATATTCAAAGCAACACCGATAGAAAACGCGCCCAGACGTCCGTGATGAAGCGTTACGCGATATCTCGCGGTTTTACTGCCACGCGGTTTCTTTTATTTGCATAATTGTCGCTGATGACCCGTCGTAAACGCGATGGGAGCGTTTGCGCGGACCTCGCCCCTTTCACCCTCTCCACTTTTTCTTACATACGTTCGACTTTTCCGATATAACCATTTCCGTTCACCATTTCACCTTCTTTTACCTTTACTGCGATTAGAAAGTCAACATTTTTCATTTGCAACCCTTGTTGTAGATATCGTTACCTCTATGGTAACGTAATTTTTATTAATGCAATTTTACTTACAAGGTTTCTATTTTTATGACAACGTATTTATCATTAATAATATGTAATAATTAAGAAAGATATTTAATATTTTCACTAATATAAGTTTTGAATGATCTAATCTACAAAATTTGTGGCTTTTAAGTTGTAAAGTTTGATTCTGAAAACGTAAGTCAGAAGGCACAAAATGGAGAAACCAATGCGCATGCGCAGTGCGTCTGGAGAGCGCGCATGCGCATTACGAACGTACATAGATCGCGATCAATCATAATATATTAACTGTTTTAAACAAATAAAACATCTATGAATTTCTCACAGAATATAAGAATCGAATAAAGTATTAAAAAGAAATAAAATAATCTAATTAATCTTTTAACATAGCTTTAATACATTACAGACATACATATGTTCATGTTTCTTTCTTCGACGCCATCTTGTTTTCAAACCTCCACAAAG